AGTCCTCCGCCACCTCCCCCGCTGCCTCGTCCTGCGGGCCGTTGACGCTGTCTGGACCCTGCCCGACGCTTGCGTCGGCCATCTTCGCCCACACCTCGATGATCTGACCGGTGTGTTCCTTTTGCACCCACTTACAACCTATTTCCCTTACACTCTGTCTAGTCTGGTCTCCGTGCGCGTACGACGCACTGCTTTTCCGCTTCTCCCTGCCAATGTCTGCATCACCTACGCTGCTCAAGGCGAGTCCTGGCCCCGCGTCGTGCTTGACATGTCTATGCCGCCTCGAACTGACCCACATACACATTGGCTCTGCATGTACGTACAGCTATCGCGTGCCCGCAATCTCGATCAACTGCACGTGCTGCGTCTACCGCCGAGGACAGCCTTTGAGGTCGGCCCACCACACTATCTCCGGGACGAACTGTCCCGTCTCCACACATTGGAGACCGCAACCACAGACACTCTCCGAGCCTACCTCACTGCTATGCCTGACTGTCCCCCTTTCATTCGCGCTCTCTTTACCGGCAGCGCTGCGCCCTGCGCATCTCCCACTGGTAACACCTCGGCATCCACCTCCAATCTCCTCGACGCTATTCCTACCGACTTTACTCAGAAGAGGCCGCCCGCAGCTCCTGCGACTGTCGCGCCGCTGAAACGTTGCCGTTTCAAGCAACCAGTCTCCGCCTCCGAGCGCCCCCTCGTCAGATCCGCTGCCACCCCAACCGGCCCCGCCCGGCTCCTCAATCGCAGCAATACCTGTTACATCAACGCGCTACTGACCGCCCTAGCACAGTGCCCTGCCCTGCAAACGTGGTTGACGCAACACCTAGGCTGTCAAACGCACTTACCAAGTGTGTGCTGCGCTCCGGCACTTGCCGCAGACATCCAATCCCTTCGCAGCGAGCACGAACCTTTCCACCCCCGTCTTGCGGAGACCCGCGGCGCGTGGAATCCATCCTTCGCCAACTCCGACCACCAAGACGCACACGAAGCCCTCATGGCCATCCTGTCTAACCTTCACAGATGTGAGACACTTGCGTCGAACCCCAACCACATCCGAAACACACCTTTTTGGCTTGCGTTTGGAGCCGAGGCAAACCAAACTATCACTTGCCAAAGATGCTCTGCGTCGTGCAACACGACTACTCACATCTTACCATTTCACATCCCCGCAGATATGTGCTACGAATCCAGCAACAGCCTGGAAGCTCACCTCCAACAGAGCTCCGCCTCTGTTCCTGACCGACGCTGTCCCGAGTGCGGCGCAACCGGCGCATCCACGCAAGAGACGACACTGACACGAACTGGCGCCGCACTGCTCATCACCATTGGTCGATGGCTCCAGCCCCCTGATGGTGGCACCATCCACAAAGACAGCCGCCCGATTCACGCCCCCACCACCGTTCATCTTTGTCAGAGAAGCTACCGTCTCTACGCCAGCGTCCTGCACGCAGGCACTCTCACGCACGGGCACTACACCACCGTCGTCTCTCATCCGACGCGAGGTTGGCTTCTTTGTGATGACGCCGCCCCGCCGCAGCCCATAGAAGATGTACACGCGGCTGCCCGACAACACTACATCCTCCCCTACAACCTCGCACCGACGTGAACATATACCATGCACACATACGCAAAAACACGCTCACACACACACACGTCTCCTCAGACATACACACGACTCACTACTCATGCCCCCAGAAGGCCATCCAGGCCATCGTGAATACAGATAGCCAATTACAACAGGTCACTGCACTACCTTTGCACGCAGCTACCGCGACCACGCCGCCATGGCCATACCTCACATTGATTGCCCCGGACAATATAGCCGCGTCAGACTTGCGCCATATACTTCCTGACGACATCGTGCACGTGACGCCGTGTTACCCGCAGATCTACTGGTCTCTTCTCCTTTCGCGGACCTGGCCACATCGCGGACTGGGTTGGCATGCCTCCGAACTCAGTTTGTGCCAGTAATGGGAAGTGCTCCCGCAGCTACAACGGTACGTCTGCCACGCCTCATTGCTGCCGGCCGCTTGTCTCCACTTCACGGCCCACGATCGACAGGTCTCGGACAGCCATTTGCACCTTACAACCTCGCGGACCTGATCAACATCCGCCCACACCTCAGCATCTTTCCTGCGCTGGGAAGCAGAGCCAAGACCTCGCCACCAACAGGTACGGCGCTGCCGCCTTTGTCATCGTCGAACATATGACCAACAGCCCACGCCTCAGCTAGCTTACACTGAACCTCGTGCGCTGACGTTGTTTCACCCGCCAACCACATACCGCCGCCATTAGTGAGCAGATTCTATCCGTTCACGCCGTACACTCACGCCCTCGCCCGCCATGGCGCTTTCCCTCTTTAAGACGGAGCAGACCATTATCTTTCGCATCACTGCATCGCGCATCGAAGAGCAATGGCAGGAGCGCACCTTCGTCGCACGCCTCCTTACACGTGGTGGAGACGAACTTGAAATCACTGCGAACAAGGCCGGGACTATCGCGATCGGACCACGTTTAGAACCACCCCCTTGTTGCCGCACTTTTTCGACCGTCGTCCGGGCAGGCAGCCTTCGAACAGTGGAAAGCCTTACCACATGGCGTTGCCCACAGTGTGCTGGTGAAGCGATCTTGTGTCCGTGCCTACAAGGGTCAATCCTACACCGGAATCGCCAGCGATCTTTGCAACTTGACAAGCATTCGTGACCCTATAAGTCTTTTTTTAACGTGTTTTTGTTCCCTGTTTCGATCCAACTGGTCAACTCTCGGCTAAACTGCTAAACTAAACTCTTCTAGTCCCGTCCCTTCTGTCACACCTTCTTCCCATACGACTCACTCCCTTCTATTTTTAACTACCTTCCACCTGCTGTTCCTCAGGCCTACGGTTTCAATACCGCACGCAAGTGCAGCGAGTCCTCGACGGCATCCCGGACACGATCTTAAAGCCACAACCCATCACTCCACCCGAACGCCTTGACCAAGTTGATGAGAACCAACCCCTCAACGTCGCCGGCATCCTCCAACACGTCGGACCGGCGCCGTCGCCGGTCAAACCGCCCGCGCTTCCAAGACGTACCATCTGCTTGCAATGGGGCGCCTGGACTGCACTGCAACATCGACTGACAACTCATATATATTTTTTTTTTAAACCCCTATATACCACTGACGCACTCTTCCACCATTACCCGGCTACAGGTGACCAGACCATACCCATCGACATGGTTGGCAGCATGTCTGGAGCGACTTTCGAAACTGGACAACCCTTGCTGGTCATGTCGGTGCAGAAGCGATCGTGGATGGGCCTCATTTCCCTCGAGTCTTCCCGCCTTACGTGGTGTTTGCCGCCTCCCAGCTGGCTGAAGGCCCCGCGTCGACTCACTAATGTCCTTCATTCACCTTGCTTGTAGTCCAGTGACCTTATTTCATTTTAACCCTTCTTACCCCTTCTGCACGGACGAACAACATCCCAGGTACCAGAACCGAGCGCTGAGCGCCCCAAGAAGGCTTTGAAGACCGCCGACTTGACGATCAGCACCATCGCAGCCGTGAAAGAGACCACTGCCGCCGACACCGCCATGAAGGTCCACGTTCACATCGTACCATTCACCGAGAGCCTCTTCCACATGAACATTTGGTGCGGCGACAACGGCGACCGCCTCCGTTTGCCCCTCCAGGTCAAGGACTCGACTGGTACGCTCACCATCACCGCTTGGCAAGACCTCCTGGCATGCTTCACGGACACGAATTTCGATGATCTGGCCACCATGTGGACCAAATGCGACAACGACGAGGCCGCTCAAACTGCCTTCCTCGAGACCCTCAACCAGAAGAACACCGCGGACACAACGTGGGAGGCCACCATCCGCCCACGCACATGGAAGAGTGACGTTCAGTGGACTGTTGTAGATTTGGTCGCCCTTGCGAAGTGATACTTCGGACGACCTCCTGCCCACACTCCATCTCGCCGTAAGCGCGAGGCATGTGAACGTGTGCGACCGACAAAAGATCTCCAATCACCCTGACAGAGTTTCACCTACACTCCCCCACTATCGAACACGCCATGGACGTATACACTAAGGTCACTGCCAGAAGCGACGCAGCGCCTGCTGACTGAGGCCAGAGTCACTGCCAGCAACCGGCGCCAGAGAACCCTGTTTCACACACACACACTCACGCCTCAGGCCTCTAATTTTCGCACCTCCATCCTTGACGTGGGCTTTTCGTGCACACTTCTCTATGTGCATGTACCTACTCGTAGCCCTTAGTGACACACAAACACACACACACACACACCCCTCCAAGAGACCCGTAAGAGAAACCTACTTTGTCCCAAACGAGTGCTCACTGAGAGTCTGGTGGCCTGATTGATGCCCGTGCGGAGACCACAAAAAGTGACGCTGCAGAAACGCAAACGAAAACCATCGAAAGCCGTCGAACTCCGTCGACGTCCGTCGAAATCCGTCGAAATCTGCGGACCAGCGCTAGCTCCGCGCCCGCTCGCTTCTCGCTTTCCGTTGCTTGCCGGACTGGTTTGCAGCCGCCTCAGAAATTAAGCGTGTTGCAGGTGTGTTCCATACGTAGACAGATTGTTGATCGACACCATACAGGCCCTCTTCAACTGATTTGCACGATGAACAGCTTGGCAATGTTCATGTACTCTTTTGAATGCCAGGACATTGAGGTATGGTTGGCAGATGCCCGCAGGGTAGATACTGTAACCGACTCTTTGTTCTCGGACTTACTGGCCTTACGAGAAGGCCTCCAGAGAATTCCACCTGCAAGGCGTTTGTCAAGAATAGTCCACATCGCTCAACATCTAGACGTCAATGCGAAGCAAAAAGCCAGGAGTGGAATCCAATCGTGGAACATATGTCTGTGGGTCATGGCACCCATATACTTTGTTTGACCTACCTGGCAGATCCTGGAAGGTCGTTTGCATCCTGTGGACTGGTTGGGCGAACGAACGAACGACCCATCGGAAGTACGATCGGACCTGCCGCAGCCGTTTTCTTTTGCTCACCGCGCGTGGATTTACAACCTCCGCGTCTTTCCACTACAAACACTCGCTACTTATTCCGCCATGGCTCAGATCGTTCAGACCCCTCAGCAGCAGCAGCAGCAGCAGCACTCTGAGACTCTGAGGCAGCAGATGGGGATGAGAAAGATCAGGAAACTCACGGGGTCTTTTGGGATTCCAGACCAGTTCCACAGTACAATTAAACAACATCAATCAAATTCGACGAAAGGGTCACCGTGAAGTCAAACCATTCCTTTTATAGTCGACTCCCAGGGCTGAACGAGGAAGTCCAAAGAGCTATAAACGATTCGGACTCGAGTTGGCACCGAAAGTCAAGGAAATTCATAGAATTTCCTCTAAGCGGGTCATCGAATGGAGGACCCTTGTAAAGAAAGGGTCGACTGCACTCTGCAGGGTGGAGGCTTCTGCGTGTGGTTTCACGGGAGCCCGTGTGTTCATGGTGCGGATGTTTCTTCGGTCACAGCATAACAGTTCGAGCACATCCATGTCGCAGCATTTTGCACATAGAAACAAAGTAAAAAATCTACACATTACACCATTACACCATGTTCAGAAAGAACGTAGTGAAGACGGCGGTGCCTGTCGCCCCTCCCCACAGCTGCCTGGACCTTCCCTTTGTATCCCATGCGGTTTTACATAAGCTTCCAAGTAGATACCTGGTCGCAGTTCCACCACGTGCCAGACGTCGCAGAAGTCGCAGTTCCACCTCCAAGTCGCCCGTCTCGTCCTGTAGCTCGAGCTTCAGCTGAACATCTCCTTCCGTCCCAGGGTCTCACGCCAAAGCGGTCCTCCGCGCGCATTCGATTCGTCCAGTCCTTTGCCGAAAGGTTCACCCGGATGTGCAAGTACTGGAGCAACAACAAGTGCAACATGGGTGTCTCAGCTACGACTGGATAGCTTGTTCTACGACTGACGACTTGGGGTAAGAAAGAAAGAATTGGATGCAGGTGGTAGATGGTGACACGTTTCGTTCGGTCCTGTTGGTGGGGTGATTTAGTTGACGATGTGCCGCACCAGGTGGTTGAAATGCTTTGGAGGCCATCGCTACTAGGGTGGAGGCCATCGCCTCCCGAAGTACCTTCAAGACCTTCCTTTCTTTCAACTAGGAGTTGGTACGCAAGTGGTCCTTGCAAAACCAATAGTGGCAACAGCCATCAACGGCCCAATGTTAGTCTATGAGGGGTGTCCATTTCTGCAGGGGGGCAATCCAGAGGATTTTGGCCACCCAAGTTGTCCCGACCCAAGCAAGACCTCTAGAAGAAGGATCTCAGTGGATTTTCCTGGCTCGAACCAAGGTGGTGAGGTGCATGGACACATGATGTGTTTGTTTGAGCCACATCGACACATTCGGCCACCATTGGAACATGGAATCGGAAGATATGCTCCGATCCTGCAATGAAAAGGCTATGTGGATCTTCCAGAGAAGTCGTCTCACATCCACTATAGCAGTTCTGTTTGGCAGCAGGGCCATGAGAGGTTGTGTGAGACTCACCGAACAGTCTGTCGCCCTCCGAACCCCAGGGGTATTCAATTAAGAACAACAGAACAGTTTAACATGGGTGGCGGTTTCAGATGGGTTTTTGTTAAACCTTTACTTGACTGAACTGAACTGACCAACTCTTTTGAAACCACCAAGCAGCTGGTCGTTTTCAGGTGACTCAGAGTTCGGTTTTGCTGGTCGTGTTGCATTTCCCCAACGACCCATGGGACTGCCAGGACGGACTGCCGCCCCAGACAGACCCCTCTTCAACCACCCCAATCTATGGTATATATGCCATACATGGAGTGTTTAGGTGTGAAACACACCATAGGCACCGCTAGCAGTGGCGAAGTGGCGTTGATGGATCCCTAGTAATCCAAGTACCTTCTCAGAAAGGCACCTGGACCCTCCAAACCCATCCCAAACACCTTCTGAGAAGGTACTTGGATCCCTAGGGGATGTAAAACGAGATGTCTCCATCTTTGGACACTTAACACATGCGTCGATGTTCCACCCAGTTCCCCCTGTTGTTGTCCACGACGCCGTGGGAATCATATCATCTCCACCAGGAATCTGACATTCCCTCCAAAAGCTCCTTCACGGCTCGGTGTTCTTTTTCGTCCTGCTCCCTGTCTCTGAATGCCCATCGACCCGGGATGTTTCGAATCCAAGGCTCAGGTCGAAAGAAGAAAACCCCAGGTCTCTTCATCCAAGCGCAGAAAAACGAACTCACGCTTGCCCTGCGCCACGCACGGGACCCGGTCGAGACAGGCGCCAACTGCAACTTTGCTCATGACCAGCGTGAACTTCGTGCGCAGCCTGACCTGGTGGCCACGCGCTTGTGCTTCCAGTTCTCCCGCAAGGCGCGCAGCGGGCGCCATCCGGAAGTCGGAAGTCCGGCGCCTTTTGGGTCCGTTGTCCGAGCCGAGCAGCCGGTGGCTTGTTCGCAGGGTCGACAGGAGGTGAGTACGTTGGAAACGGCTTCGAATCCGATTCGGATCCTGAGACCGAGAAGGAGACAAAGACAATGCCGGCCATACATGTTTTTGGGGCATGGACGAAACCCTGATGAACCAATAAAGATATACATAGAACATGTTCTTCAAGCAAGTAACAAGTCAGTATGTATAAATATGTATATACTTAGATTTATTTGTTCTAGCTGCAGCTCAGTTGGATGAGAGCTGCGCAAAAGCATGTGAAGCCTTGGTACTCCAACTTTATGAGCCAGAAGTGCAGGTTGCACCCTGTCAGGTGATCATACAAAATTCCAGCCCACTTTCGCCTGGTCATATGGAGATCTCGCCGGCTTTCACCTCACACTGAAATGATTCCAAGTTGCGATGCGAGCATGCATCCCTTCGTGAAAACCCTATGAAAAAGAGGTGATCTTGGACTTCACCAGCCCAAGCCTTGTACTGTATAGCTTTGTGGTCAAATCCATATAGGGCTCCAACCATATCCTCAGAAGGTGGTTAGACCCCCCAAACCCGGGCAGCCCCGAGCCTTGAGTGCCACGGAAGAAGCGGTGTTTGTTTTACTGCTCGGCAGGGCCAGTGCAAGAACGGCGACTGTGGCAGCAAGCGCGGGACATGTTCTTTTGGGAACTCTAGAGGTTTTAGCCTTCAAACAATCAAACACCCCATGAAAACCTGTCTTCACATTTGGAAACGGGTCTTCACTTCTAAAGTTGGAGAGTATCAATGTTAGATTCCAACCAAATTCAGACGTTCAGTTGCTTTGGCCAACTACGGACGGACCGATCGAAGACCACGGGCCCCGGTCGTTCCGATCCGCCTCCCGAACCAGGAAGATCTCGACATGCCAAAGACATGGATTTGATGAGTTAGATGTGAGTTAGCTTCTTGTTACTAGCAGATTGTTACTAGTAGCTTCTTGTTAGCCAGCTCCAAGGGTGGTTTTTGGTTGGAGAAACTGATCTACTGCCCCGAGGTTTGGAGGTTTACCTACATACAAATTTGATCATATTTGTTTTGTGCAATCATTACAGTACTGTACTGTACATCTCAGTTGTGGGAAGCTGGATTCGTTCTACACTGGTCAGCTTTCGGATATTGAGGCAGGCCATCCATGTGTGTTCTCCTTTGCGTTCTGAGTGTTCGGCAAAACATAGTGTCATTCACTCTTGCTGGGAGGATGTTCATGATGTGACCTCTGTGGAACCGGGAATTTGGAGAAACACAAACAAATGTCAACTTCACAGAGGGCGCATGTTTGAAGACTGGAATCTCTTGGGAGTTTGGGGCACCCCCTAGTCTATGATGTGAGCACTGTAGTTTTAAATAGGCGATGGACCATCGTTAGGGGACTTGAGAAGGTCTCTCAACCTACCACAGCTTAGAGGGTGTTCCAGTCATGGGGCATACCACTCAATTGGCATTTTCGACGACTTTCCGGTTTTCGGTCCTTATAGGTCTTCAACAAATCAACTTGGCCAATGCAACTCCCCTCTTTGAATTCCTTGTTTTCAACATATCGCCACCGGGCATGGGTCGTGACCCGTTCGCCCGTCCGCGAACGGTCTTCTGGTCGGTCTTCTGGTCGGTCTGGTTGGTCTCCTGGTGCCATGAGCGGCAAAACACAGGAGACGTACATGACCTTCCAGGTAGCTCAACGAAGGTTTGCTTGTGACATTTGTTGACCCACAGGCCAAACACACACCACACCAAGTACCACACCGATATCTTCATCGATCCTGGTTCTTCCTCATCTCCAACTCTTCAGGCGACGCCTGCAAGTACGCCCATGGGAAGTCAGAGCTGCGACGTTTGCATCCTCAGTCGACAGCGTCGACGTTGCAACTCCCGAAGATGCCGGTCTTTCCCAAGGACCGGTCGGTCCGACCGCAGCGGCAGAAACGGTGGTGAAGACCAGCGGCAGCTGCATGGAGGTGAAGACCAGTTCATGAGTTGCTTTTTGGGCCTGGAAAGTAGACCGGTCTGGATGTTCAAAGCTTCATGAAACTGCGATGTTGGCCCGAGTGTCTCAGAAAACTCCATCCGTCCAAATGGGTGTGTACATTAGCGGTTCCATCGCCCTGAGAATTCACCCACTGGTTCACACTCCAAAGGATTCACCCCAAAATGCTTCGACCAGGACCGCGATTCAAGCGTTTATTGCGTTGGCTATGGAAAGGCTGGATGGTTCCAACATATGACCAACCCATTTGGGAGGCACGTTTGGGTCCATGCAGGACCCGAAGATCTTGGAACATGTGGGCCTTTCCTATAAGATAAGATAGCTACCCACAAGATGTTCAGATGCTGTTCCCCTGTCACTCACTATACCCTATACACATGGAACGCTTGTTGCGTTTCTTCGCCCTTGAACCAACTTCCCACTGGGTCTGCCTGGTTTGGCCTGATGTGTTGCTTACCCCCTTGTGCAAATCCCAGTAAGGGGGAATCCGCTGTTGCAGGAAATGTTGAACAAACTTGGACCTGGGGAAAACATGTTTTCCCCCATATCTCCCCATATCCAGTCATTCTTTGGCTCCTGGACTGCTCATTCCACACGGTGACGTGGTCGACATCGATGGGTGACACGTGCGATGGTCCGTGTGCCGTGTGCCATTGAAGCAGGAACCCAAGGCCGCGGGACAGGCGGGACGATGAGAAAACATGAGAAAACGGACGGGGTAAGGATGGTACTCCCACCGAAAAAGGACAAACATGAGAAGGAAGAGGTGCATGCCTCTGTGTGCGTGTTCCTAAGTGTCTGTGTCATGAGGAGGAATTTGTTTTTTTGTGTTTGTCACCGTTGCACCACATGGTTTTATGCTCGTATTGTGGATATTTGTTGAATGATGTTAATGATGCATGTGTTGTGTTTTAAAGGGTGATTTGATTTGGGTCACATATCTTGACCATGGGCGTTTGCTCCAGGAGATGCACCGTTCTCTAAAGTTACGACCCTTCATCAATCACGGACTGTTGGTTGTCATTGTTTTTGTGGTCACAACCACCTCTAAATTGCTGTGCTCATACCCTACTGTTGCTTTCTGGTAATTAGTTAGGAAGGAACTAACGAGCCGGGGGTATCCATATGTCCCTTTAAACAGAGAGCCAACCATCAGATTTGTCGATGTTTTTCAAGCCCCGAGAAATTGGATGACCATGTTCCGAACACCAAACAGCTGGTGTTGAACTCCACTTCCACCACGATATGTTGCAGCGAGTCTGAGCTAGACCGGGCGTGCTCACCGTGACCGTCCGCCACCCGTGGTCCTGACGACCGGTGGACGCTCGTCGCAGGTGATGAAGGCTCCTCCTGGCCTCGTCGCTGTGGCGCCTCCACCGGGGTTGGAGTTGGAAGAAGCAACACCGCCTGGGGAGCCCAGAGTGGGATCGTTGCAGTCGGAGCAGGGCATCGGCATCTAGCCCAGCTTCTTTTCCAGCCCCAAGTGATCTCAAACCAAGAGATCAAAAGGTGAGTGTGAAGAACCAGGTTTATCGTTGTTTCTATATAATTCAATAACTGGTGTTGGAACCGTAGTTCTAAGATGTTCTTCTAAGTGACAATCAAGAAAAGCACGTAGAGATTCCCTCTTTGGGTTGGCTGCTGCACGTGTTGTATCCCATTGAGACAGATTTGTAGTGGTAACTTCTACGTGGCAGCTTAAACTGGTTGATCATATTTGCGTGTTGGGACCACACAGGATGAGGTCAGATGGGTGAGACAACACAACTATATAGTCTAGGAAAGTTGATCCCTGAACTTTAGATGCAAGATGACAAAGAGTTGCTTTGCACAAACCTTCAGAGTGCTCATTGTTTCATTTCAAATTTTGTTGTAAGAAACGACGTAGCCGGTGTTCAGCATGCATACGACAGCAACCTATAGACTTCACCGTATAGATGGCATCACGAAAAAGTGCTCAAAAATCCATCTAAGCCAAACGAACAGGTGGGATAAAACTAGTAGATTTGGCCGCTCCCAAAGATGGCATCCATACATAACATCAATAAAAATACACAGGCAATCAGGTGACATGGGATGGCGCATAAACAGAAAGGGGAAACAGGAGATTGCAACAAAAAAGAAGAACAAATAGAAGGAGCAGAGG